CTGTCTTGGGTGGTGGAAGCTGTTTCTCCCAAGTCTGTGTCATCTGCAGATCTCTTAAGTATTTGCTCCACCTCTGGCATATCCATTTTCCTGCACACTCTGATGGGGTTATCCATTATCTTTGACACTCCTTTTTTTCTCTCTTTCTGCATCTCCCTTCTCTGTCCTTTCCGTTTCTTAAATTGACATCCATCTTCTCTCCTTCATTCTCTTTTTCCCCCTGCTGATGTCCGCCAGGCAGGGGACATTGCTATTCCAAGTGGGGTTGCAATTGTTTATTTGCGGAAGGTTTTGAAATTAGGCCAACGGTTGTAGGGCCTCATGGTAGCTAACACCTGAATGAAAGATTTGGGGGGAACTTCAGAGCTTGTGCTTCACAGCAAGAAATTGTCCTTTTGAACATGCAAGAAGACGAGACTGTCGCTTAAGGAGATTAAAAAACAGTCTCTCTTTTCTTTACTTGTTCCTCCCCAGCTTTACATGTTTCTTCAATTTAGAATGCTAAAATACTAATTCACAACAATAGCAAAAGCCTTTCAAGGTTTTTGTTGCTATTCTTAGGATTTTCTAGAGAAAAATGTGGTTGGTGCTGCAGGGAGAGGGCAGGGAATAGATCTTTTGTTTTTTTCAAGGACACACCATTTTGTTATACTCCTAATGATAAAAAGGAGACTAGAATGTAGATGTCAGCCTTGAACACTGTGGCTAGAGTAACCTGTCCTAATGAATTAAATCTATATCCAGCTTTATCCGGCGCACATTAGCCCCTGTGCAAATGGCCATAGGCTAGAAAGATGAGAGTTACAATTCACTGTTACTGTAGACAGGGCAGAATTTTTAATATTTGAGGATGGGCTTGTTTCGCAAGGTCTTACTTTCCTGGAGATCAGTATCTAGACTTACTATGCTCCTGCAGTTGATTGGGGTGGAAAATCCCAAAATTTTCTTTTTGACTATTTTCATTTTTTTTCCCTTTTAGCAATTTTATATTCCAAAAGAAAACACAATTTTGGTGAAACCCTCCAGTATGAGAAATGCCATTTTTGCCTTTACCTTGATTATGAAATGACTTGAAGTCATGGGTATATATATACTGTTTTTCATTGTTCAATAACTTCTCCAATGGTCTTGTAATGGACTTCTTAGAATCCAGAAAAGAGAATGCTGATTTGCAAAATATTACAAGTTCAGAACATCTGCCCATTGCTCTTTTATCAGGGAGACTGATAGCCATCTCCCCATTGTAAAAATGATAATGGCTTCTTTGAATTGAATTTTATACCTGATAACTACAGGGACACAGCCATGCAGGGTTTTTGGCAATGTTCCAAGGGGTTTGCTGTTGCTGTTGTCTTCTTCCAGGATATAATTCAATTTCCCAGTTTATTTTAGGCCTGTAATCCTGGGATTTCCTTTTCCCACCAAAGAACTAATTCAGGTTTAATCCTGCTGAACTTTTATTTTAAGATCAGCCAAAGTCATATGGGTGCTACCACTTGTTGATGATGAGCCCTTGACCACCTGTCAGCCCTTTGCGGTAGTCCAGACCAGAAACACAAACCTTGAGTACTAACACTACCTTTATTGTAAGGTTACAGTAACAGAATCTTGCAAGTCTGAAAGTACCTCTCCCCTCCCTTACTTTTACTCTCCCAAAAACTAGGAAGAGTCCCTTCTGAGACACTTCCCATACCCCTTTTGCTTCTCTGGGCTGAGATACCTTTTGCATAATGGTTGTCTAAGGTACAGCTCTTCGTCCTGTCTCCCAAGGTCATCCTTTCATACATTACATCATCTCACAAGAACGTGAGAAGCTCAAAAACATCACCTAAAGATCCCTGAAAATGAGTTATAAATCTTGAAGTCTGCAATAAGGGGAAAAATGGCTGAAATCTGAAGACCAATTTTGGTGGAATATTTGTTTGGCTTGGTGTTTCAGGTGTTGTTCTTTTCTTGAACACTGAAGTCTTAGCTCTTCCCTGTTCATGGCTCTCAAATAGGAACACCCTGAAAATGAGGCAGAAGAAGAGAAGCCTATTTTTCAGGGGAAGAAAACAGGAGGGAGGAAGCAAATTGAAGGATACTTTTTGACACAATGCACCATCACGTCTATAGCTCTGGTGTGAACAAGTGATCTGTGTTGAACACTCAGTTCCTCCTCCTCCTCCTCCTCCTCCTCCTCCTCCTCCTCCTCCCCTTTACAACATTCATGTTGTCTGCCCCAGTTCCTTTTGTGTTTAATTTCATGTACATTTGAGGCCATGTAATTGTCAGAGTCAGCTTGTCTATATTTGTGCTTGTTTGGTCTTATCTTCCTCCAACACACCTTGAGGCGAGTCCTTCAGAATCTAAAAGGTGAGTTCTTTGTTCCTGCTTTGTAGTTAAAGGAACAGTAGCAATTTATTTCTTAGAATGGAGCAGGATGAAACATGGGCCTTAGATGCAGTCGGTAATCATGCAGGGGGCAGGACCCACAGCTTCGAAATGCAGCACCACACATCTTCAGCACCACACTGCTGTAACAAAATTAAGTCCAGCAGCTTTCCTGTCTGTCCCATCCACCTTCTGCTGGAACCTCTTCTAGGATACGAAGTTGCCAGAGCTTGGCTCTGTATTACAGTCCAACTCTTAGAAAGTTAAAGGGGAGTGACAGCAATATGAGATGCCTGTGACACTGCCTGATAACAAGGGTCACAGAAAGAAGTGGGAGAGAGTGTGTAGGGAGAAAAGAACATTAGGAAGAAAAAATGGGCAGGGGAGACAAATGGAGGGGTGAAATAGCCAGGGTGTGTTTGTGTGTATGTGGGTTTGTGTGTGCATATGTCTATGTGTGTCCTCTTCAGAGTATTTTGCTTAAAGCCCCCTCCGTCCTGACAGCATCACAGATGCAGTTTATTTCCAAGTTGTTGCAAGCAAACCTTTTACAATACATGTTGCAAATTATACTTACATGGACAAAAATGATAGTGTTGTGTCTTGGGGTGTTCTAGGGCAGGAAAAAGAAATTTTTCCCCTGTTCAGCCTAATGGAAATTGGAGAGGGGTGAATCATGCACAACTGCATTGGCAACTCAGTTTGAAAAGTCAAATCAGTCCAACTGGAATTTTCCTTTGGATTCAGACAATCCAATTCAGATTTGCAAATCAGTTCCAAGAATTCTGTTTGAAAAATGTACTTTTGCATGTGCCCAAGAGTCCATCAAAATGCTGAATGGGATATGTAGTTTTTCAATTCAATCTGGAGTCCTCTGATTCAATTTCATTTTTCAGCCCGGTTCAGAGCTTTGATTTGGACATTTAAATCAGATCATCACATTGACTGAATCATCTTCTAATGGAAGTTCTGAACTGAATATTGGGCCAGCAATAATGGAGGAGCCTGTTACCTTATTGGGCTAGTCAGCAAAGGGATTAAAGTTGCTTGAAGGTGTGACATTTAGTGATTACCTCTGAAGGTCCAGAGATAGGCATCTAGGACACTGAGGTGTTTGAAATCAATCTAAGAAAGAATGGTGGAAAGGGCTGGTTATGTTCAGGCTGAGAAGACAAGATTAAGGAATGCTATGAGAGCTGACTTAAAATATCTAAAGGGCTGTCAGTGAGATGAAGGGGCAGATTTATGAACTCTTGTTCATTTATTCAGAACCAAAGGATGGACACAACAAGGGAACAGATTTGGGGTAACATCAAGCAAAGGTCTTAAATGTCAAGAGCTGTTCAACAGTGGGACAGATGCTGTCTAAAGACAATGCATTCTCCTTATTCAGAGGATCTAATAGGGCCACACAGTGCCTGACTTGCTTCCTAAAAAAGTGCTTTGGAGCATCACACCTGTTGGCCACACCTTAAAGCTGTCATGCCTTTTTCCATTTGTTCATGAATCTGAAGTGTTGCACAACCCTAGTATTTAACCAGGACTACATCTTGCCTTGTAGGTCCCACATTGACCAGGAGGTCTGATTAGGTCTCAAGAGTGCTGTAATTGCCTCTGTGCATTCTGATCATCTACTAATGAGAACAATTTCTTCTCCTTCCTGTTCCCCCCTCCTGGGCAAGTGGCTAAACATGATTTTGTCAGGATTTTCTTTCTCATGGGAAAGGATTCATCCCATTATCTTTACAACAATAACAAATAATATTTTGGCTACAGAGATCATGTGAGAAACACCTGTTATTGTGTGTTGTGCTATTTACTGCCACCTATAGGCATGTGTATGCTGGTTACCCAGTGGGGGTGGCACGGAGCTATAATATAATGGGAGAAACATGCTTAGCCTCTAAAGTTTAGTGTGTGTAGTTTTAGCTCAGTATAGCGCTATGTAATCGTTTTTATGGGTTTTGTAGTTGTAACAAATAACCAAGTAGTGTACCTCTTCTCTGAGAGTTTGTCGCTAGAGATTTTGTTAAGCTTGTGTTGCTAATAAGTCTTGGATGCTACATTATATGAGAAGATGTGTTTTTCCTTATATTTTGTATGATATTTGCATTTTATTTAATTTTGCATTTTTATCAATAAACACCAGTTAGTATATATTTTCTGACTGGATTTCTTTGGGAAACAAGAAATGGATATTGCATTGTGAACAGCTGCAATGCTGATGTGTATCTTTCCTGGGCAAAGTTTCCTGGAGTTTTTGCTGCGCTGCACAGGAGTGTTGTGATTTGCACTCTGCTCGACAGATTTTTCATGTTGCAATGAAAACCTGGCACCTTACATACTTGCATAAGAGTCACAATTCAAGGACAAAAGGGTAGAGGTCATGATGTCATCATGCATATTTATCATTTTTGGTGCCATCATGGCTTGCTGTACACATCTATGCTGCTTGCTCATTTACATGACATAGTCCAAATCTGCCAGATGTCCTAGGGAAGAAACATGGATCTGGAAGGTACCACCTTGGAGGATAATGATGGAGCTCAAGTTGTGTGTGACTATGGAGTGTTTCCAGTTACTGATTTTCTGTAGTTGCCTTTTCTCCCTTTTCTCGATCTGTCCAGGTATGGCTCTGTGGCGGCAGCATGGAGGTCCTCCCGTGCTCTCGAGTGGCCCACATTGAGCGCAAGAAAAAACCGTACAACAATAACATTGGCTTCTACACCAAGAGGAATGCACTGCGGGTGGCTGAGGTGTGGATGGATGATTACAAGTCCCATGTGTACATTGCATGGAATCTGCCATTGGAGGTGAGTCAACATACTTAGGCTTCCATCAGCTGCCTTGTCTCCTAATGTCCATGTTGTGAATCTGTGCGGGATTGTGCTTATAGCAGAGGATCATTCAGTCTTCTGTAGGCATCCCATTCATACAAGCACACACACTGCATAAACCACACAACCATTCCTTACACACAAGGAGGCTGGAGAAATCTAATCCCCCCTCTCTTGCATTGCTCCTATTCCACATCTCTGGTTTTTCCCTTTTTTGAGAGGGAGGAGAAAAAAGATGGTTTACCTCACCACCCAGTGATGGTGGGCAGATTGTTGCTTCTTTCACCTGTTCTGGCTTCTGTGCTGGGAGGACAGCCCGGTCACTGGGATTTGTGGAACACTTTCTCAACATCAGCAGTGGGGACAGCAGCTGGATCAGTGGTTAAAGCTGAAGAATCCAGGGAAATGAAGATAGACTTGGGGACCTTCTCTGTTTAGCTATTTCAGCTGCATCAGTTAAACAATATGCATGTGGGGTAAATGTCTCTCTTCTACCAATCCTGATGCAACCTCGGTGCAGAGGAGGAGGGGTTTTATGTGCGCTTCTGCATATGTGCACACACATACACACAGAAACAATATATGTAATGGACGTATTGCCCATATATTGAAAGTGAGTATACATGCACAAATATGTATTATATGTGTATGTGAGAGAACGAGTATAGGTGTGCATCTATGACCTCCATCTATCACCACTCACCTCTTTGGGGACTGAAAAAATTGCCCACTCTTGACATAAAACAATGCATGCCTGTATCTATGCATGTCCTCTAAAAGTATGTATCTGGACCTATTCTCTTCAAATGCATCTTTTGCATACATAGTTCTGCAAAACTATTTTTGAAACAACATTTTCTCTAAAATACACATGTTTTGGATCTTTGCTGAGAACTGTGCCGAAAATTTGGGAAATGTGTATCCCACCCTTACCTTCACTTGGGAAATGTGAATTTGACTTGGTCGCTGAATGGTGGTGGCCAGATAAATCCTGTAGTACCCTAAACATGACTGCCACCAGGGATAAACTCTTCCAAGGCCAACCCTACCTTTAGCCAAACCAAATCAGCTTGGAGGATATAGGTGGAAAATTGGCAACATCTCCATTCCTTTTTCCTGTGCCCCCTACATATCATTTTTGGGTGTCTAAGGGCCAGATTTAGCAGTGTCTGGGAGCTTGAGGGCCTCGGAATAGATAAGGCTACATCACATATTTGGGCCAGGCTGAGTTTGTGCTATGACTTAAAACAAAAAAACAAAAAAACAAAAAAAGTGTGACTCACTCTACAGCTTTTGCATCCCTGCCTCATCAGAATGGCAGGAATATGTTTTAAGCAAACATGGTAAATGTGATCAAAGAGGACTTTGATGATCACAGCTCCCTCCTTTGCACAGATAGAATGGAACAAGTCAGTGGCACATGCAAGAGAGTTGAAACAGGTGAGATGGCAGTCCTGGCAGCGCGATCCAAGCCTGCCCCTTTTGTACAAGTGCTATTTTGCCTGCTTTGACCTTCCCTTCAGATATTGCTGGAACAAGTAATGTCATCACAAGATCCCAATCTGCTTTCAGCATGTAGGATGGGGTGAAGAAAGTGTGATCTGGGCAGAAAAAAATGTGTCCTGATCCAAACCTTAGCCCATATACACCAGAAGACATACTGATTTTTTTTTCCCCCTCTCTTCTTTATTTCCTAATGGGAAGGGAAGAGAGGAAATGGCAAGGAGAAGCAGAGATGGAAGCTTCTAAACTAGGTTATTAGGGTGCTAAAGTAACTTTGGAAGCTGCCAAACAAGATGACTGCAATGCCAGGAGCTCCATATGGATAGTTTTCTAGGAGCTGTGACGGGCATGAAAATGGGCCTCCGCTTGATTTCAGATTTTGCTTTTTCATTTGAGAGTACATAATTCCCAGTTGAACATTTTACATGAACCTACCTGGATGCCAGTTTGCTCCCAGTTTAATTGCAAGGTTCTGTTCCTGGCAGGATGGACCCCGTTGGCCATAGGTGCCCTCTGCCTATTCATACAGATGCTGGAGCCCAACCTAGTTCATGCCACTGAATGTTGGTGACTGCAATTATTTACTATCCTCCCCCCACCCCAAAAATGCTAAAATGGTTATGTTAAGTCTCTGATAGGCTTCAAAGAAGTGTTTTGCTTTAAACATGCCCCAAGACTCCCCAGACAGGCTTTAAATTTTTATTTTTCTCAACCCTCATTCCAATGACAAAATTTTCAGAAATAAAAACTCAAAACGAACAATAAACAAACAAAAGAGCAATTCTTAGCTACAAGAGGTGAACCATCTATACCCCTATGAGCTTTTTTCTGTATATAAGTGAAGAAAATTCTCTGAACTTGAACTCCAACTCCTAGGGAATTTGTGGATGTGTCCATATCATTTTCTTGGAAACATTGTGGAAGTGCTTTGCAATTGCCTTTTTAAACCTCCCAGGGTACTCTATCACCTGCTGGTCTCATCCAAATACTAATCAGGTCTGACACTGCTTCTCTTTTCAAGATCAGCCAAAGTCAGCTAGATGCTGACTTCTATATGTATTCTTTTCTTAATTGGAGTAGGCTAGAACATTGCCATTTTATAACTTCCCAGATATTTTTTTTTTTACTTTACCATCTAGGCTACAGATCTGGTTGTCCTAATGGTCTCCCATCCAAGTGCTAACTAGATCTAACCTTGCTCAGTTTTTTTTTCAGATTGGCCAACGTTGGCTAATTGTTGGGTTTTTTTTTTTTTAAAAAAAAGCAGAAATAATAATTTAATAATCAGGTTGATGGCTAACTGGGGAGAGTTCTACTAGTGAAGATACATCGTCAATACAGAAGCCAATTGTTTATTCAGCCTTGTTTAGAAATAGGATCTGAACTTTCAAAACAGGCTTTAAAAACTGATTTTTTTTCTTCTCTGGTATCTGATTTCAGCCTTTGTTTTTTCTGCTTATCATCTCCTTTGGTGTTTTATTGATCTTTTAAATTGTGTTTTGCTTTTTTAAAAAATTCTTTGCCTTGAGAATTGTTGCCTTGAAAGACAAGCTCTGTGTGTTTTCTAAGCCGATAACAGAATGTAGGTTGAAAAAAAAGGAAAGAAAGAAAGAAAGAAAGAAAGAAAGAAAGAAAGAAAGAAAGAAAGAAAGAGCACATTAAGATGAATCCTGAATCTAAACTCCCAAATAATAGAAATTATAATTCCAAATGTTCAGAAACATTTACCACCCTGGCTGATACTTCTTTCCAAAGTGAGCAGTGTAAAGATTGAGAAAACCTACTTTTGCTTAAGAGATTAATATCCTTTCTTTTCTGTCTCAAAAGTGAACACAACATCTCAAAAACCCATAAAGATAGAAGTGATTAGAAAATAGAAAATTATAACTGGGACTTTCAGCTAAATGCTATGATGCAGAATGGTCCTGCCCCAATTTTTATCCAACTTTTTCCCTTTATAAGCTATTTCAAAAATTGACCTCATCCCATCAAGTTTTAAATTATTTCTTTCCACTGCATTCCTCATTGTATGAGATGCCCAGGCCCTGCTGTTCACATTTTAGTCCTCCAAAGATTTAGGAGTTTTTCTTTTCCCATCAGATTTTTTTTTTTTTTTGGCACTTCTGAAATACTGAGATTTCCATAAACATTTAGACAAATGGTGCTATTTTTGGCTGAATATTCAGTGGCATTCATTTCTGAACACTGGCAACAGAAAGAATGAAAATTCAATTTATGGGAGCATAATGCATTGGTTACACATCAGTCATCTTCCATAACACCAACACAATTAAAAAGTATCAACAGCAAATGCTTCTATGAATATTGATTTCTACTGCCTACCATGGGTTTGGTCAATGAAGATTTTCATGTAACACTTCAGTGTTTATGATGTAAACTATTTTAACTATCCTTAGTTATAATTTTGCCACAGCAGCATTTTACTCCAAGCATGCTATACTTTTCTGTGCAAGCTAGGATCTCTAATCTAGAGATTACCTTTCAAGCTAACACATGGTTGCCCAGGTCATAGCAACTGGGAGGTATCTGCAGTCTTTGGCACACTTCAGAAGCAAAGATTGCTTGCAAGGATAGAAAGATATTGAGCGATGTAGTGATGGTGTTGGAATAAATTAGCTTTGGTTAGATTTCTCTTTCTTCTCTTTTTCCACCTGCCTTCACTACTTCTTCACCTTTTTCTCTGCTTTGCATAGCATTGCTTAGTCTGAAAAGGAATAGCATGATGGATGTATATATGAGAAGCAGACATTAATGCTGAAAAGTTTACCTTTTTACATGTCCTAAGCCTGCATTCCAGAAAAAGGTGCCTTTCAGAGACTGGACTCCAGGCCTCTTCCTAAGAAACACTCTGATTTTGAGACCAAAGTGCCTATTTCTGAGTGTAGGATCAAGTTGCTTTGGACATTCTGGAGTTATCTCAAGTTCCAAGAGAATCAGAGCAGACTTTCCAACACTCAGAACAGCTGTGCTGTACCTAAAGTGTGAGATTTCAAAATCAAAATGGAGTGTGTTGAATTCAAAATGTTTTGCATATTGCCACTCTTAAAGATTTCAGAAAAATGTTTTGATAGCCTTAGTTGGAGATGATGGGGACTGAACTTGTGATCTTCTACATACAAAACAGGTGCTTTGCCATTGACTTATATCCTGTGTCTCCAGCCATATCAGCTGGGACTGATGGGAATTTTATGGCGGAGGGGGTGTCTTTTAGGTCAAAAATTACTCACACTTTCTCAAGAGTCTATAAAGGGGGCAGTTGCATTAACAATCTTGTCCTAAGTTTCTTAGGATTTTCTAATGTGAAAAGGACAGGAAGACCTCAAGGGTGGCATCATAAGCTATGGAGGGAAGGAGAATCCAGGAGAATGACTCCTAACATCACTTTTTAAAAAGCAGTAGTGAAAATCTGATCATCTCAGAGCATAGCAACAAAAAGAGAAAGTGATGCAACCATGTACCTGTCTTTCAGAACCCAGGAATTGATATTGGGGACGTTTCGGAGAGAAAAGCACTAAGAAAAAGTTTGAAATGTAAGAGTTTCCAATGGTACCTGGACCACGTCTATCCAGAAATGAGAAGATACAATAACACCATTGCCTATGGAGAGGTAATTAAGATGAGAAGGAAGCACCACATGGAACTTATACGGATTCACTGTGAATTTTAGAATACATTTTATGTCTCTCCACCAACCGTTTTCTAATGAGATCTTCAGGGAGCAACTAGAGTCAGCCAGTTTTGCTCAAAACTGGAATGGAAACTCTTTCAGCCACCCACAGTGGCTATCTAACACAATTCTTGCACTGAGAGTAGAAGGTTACAAAGATTTTTGGAATCAATTTCATTTGCCCTTGTTCCATGTAATCCAGAATAGTCTACACCAGAAGTAGGAGACTTAGTGTCTTTCAGGTGTTTGGGGCTTCAGTTACCATCCTTCCTGAACACTGACTTTGTTGGTTATGAGTTGTGGAAGCTGCCATCAAAACCTCAGAATTTGCACATTGCTGTACGTTTCAGCTTCCTACTTGAGAAACTGTCCTGGTTCTTTCTCAAGATAGTTGTTTCTTGAACCTGGTAGCTTCTTTACCACTGAATCCTTCTGCTACCTGCCTTGTGATAGCTGACCATTATGGCTGCAATACAGTGCACTGTAAATAATTTCCCAGCTCTGCTACCTGTGTTCCTTTTTCAGTGGGAAGACTAAAGTTATGAAGCCGGGTTCCTTTGCTTGCAGTGCAAGTTTCTTACCAGTGACTCGGTCCTTATTATGAACACGGTCCAGAGAACTAGCAACTGCATTTGAGGCTCTCTCCTTGAAGAAACAGCTCAAAATAGGTGGCCATTTACCATCTCATCATTATCAAATCAAACTGGTAGTAGCATTTGAGACCCTTGTCTTGGTCTCTGGCCTGTCTCCCTAAAGAATTTCAAACTTTGGATCAAGTGAGGAGAAAACATTCTCCTTTGCCTGAAATTTAGTGGAGAGAAATGAGTTATAGAATTCACTAAAACCAAATGGCCATAAGTGCACTTTGATTCATAATACATTCTACTTTACTTATAAAATAATCTGATGTATCACACTGGGTATGAAATGTACGGTATATCTTTCAGCCCTAATTATTAAGGGATGAATGGATTTCTTCTGTTGTTTCTTTCATATTCCTTGTATTTGCTCAGCCTTGCAATCCTCTTGAACTCCAGTTCGATTAGGAAGGCTTGGGCTGTATTGACTTGCAGTATTTGAGTCATCATGGCCAGAGCTGATGGGAATTATTGACCAACCACATCTGGTGGGTCATGGACTTCCTGTTCCTGGTGTAGGCAGCACCAAGCTAAAGTTGGTTTTAGACAGCATGATCTGAGTTGGCTTTAAGTGGTATGGATTGGCTGCCATTTAGTTCTAATTTCAGTTCAGTTTGGATGGCCTGTTTGATCTGATTGAACCATTCAAACGGATTTGGAAAATCTAATTGATTTGAACTGTCAGTCCATTTGGAAAGTTGTTTTGATTCTTTATTCAATCAAGTCACTTTCAAATCAAATTTCCAAATTTAAGTTTTACACAATCCTTGTTAAAGAGTAACTTCCTAAATTCAGTTATACTGAACTGCGGCTCAGTGGGTTACATGCAGATGTTTGAACCCAACATCTCCAGGTCAGTCTGGGAAAGATCTCTGTCAGAAACTCTGTACTCATTGTAACTCTCTAATATAACTACTAAATTAACCCATTTTTCTGGGTTTGCACAATACAGTGAGCCAAACTAATCAATGGCCTGGATTTACATGACCCACTAAGCCACAAACAAACAAAAAAGAAAGCAACTGACCAAGAGTTTATTCTGATTGGAGCAGTCTATAAGCCCTGTAAGTAAGTAAATAAATAAGGTTAATACTAGTCCAACATAACAATTATATTGATCTGGTTATGTGTGTTGGATGGACACAGCCACTGCATAGAATACTGAAGCTGATAGATCAATAGTTTGACTTTTATAAAGTCAACAGGTCCCATATCACCTTCACTATTCAACCAACATTTCTTTGTTGATGAACAAAGCCATTGTCCACTCTGAATTCACTTCGAATATCAGAGCTCAAAATGGGAGAAATGGCTCTAGCAAACAACTGTTGGAAATTAAATTATGGGTGGGGTATCTGTATGGTGGTGATGGTGGACATTCACAGTGTTCTCCTTAACTGAAACCTCCTACTTCTTGCTTTATACAGTATGTGAATAGGGAAGGTATCCACCACCTCTGTGTCATGTTCAGCCCAGAATTAAAGTGTAGACCTATGTGCAGCAGAAAGCCATTGCATAGCACTTGGGAGGTCTGCAGAAGCCTCCTTTGCAAGCCATTGGCTTGACAAGTTGGCAGAGGACCTAAGGAAACAGACAGAAATAACTGACCCATAATTCATTTTCAACTGCCATTCCATTTCAAACATAACCCATCACTTATGAATGGACATTCTGCTGTTTTTACAGTATATCAAATTTCCATTCCACCTAGAGAAGGAGGAAGATGAGGAGGATGTTTTAGGTTAGCATTTCAAAAGAGAAGAAAAATCTTCAATCTCCCACCACTTCTGTAAAAAGAAAAATGTTTGGCTGACAGGAGGAAAAAGCTAAGAGAGAGAGAACGAGAAAGATTCCTAGGAGACTCATCCTATAAAGATGACAATTATGTATTTTCTTCTATGACCTATGTACCAGGATAGATAATTCTTGATATCTGGTGGATACACTCATAGTATTTTGGGGGAGGAAAGCCCACAGTGGGTTTGGTTATGATGAAGACTGGGTAGAGCATTTTACACCTATTTAAGAGTCCAGCTTTTTCTGACTTGGGATTCTTTCTTTACTATTTTTTACAGTGTAAACATTATTTTAAGGCAGCAGTGGGATTAAATTTGCAGACTGCATGTGTCCCCACTCCCCTTCCCAATCCCCATTTTTGTGGTCTCTGGAACATAACTGGATTCTCCTACAAACTTTGGGAGCTTTTCTGGTTTTGCTGGTGCTGTTTTTTCCCTTTTCTAAAGAAAACAAACTGTGTTTAAGATGGCTAGATATGCCAGTTTGGAGTAAACCAACAGCCCCACCAATGTGGGGGGAGATGAGATGGAACATTTCTGCTCTACCTTCTCTAAGAATATCACCGCCAATATTACTCACCATCTTTGCAGCTTGGGAAGTTGGCATATTTTCCCCTGAAAGGGCAGAAAATATTCCATGATTGTGCCATCAAAATGTAGTCAGTAACTCCAGGGGTTAAAAAAAACCAAAACATTGTGCATCATGCGGGCATACAAACAGAGATTGACCATCCCTGCTTTGTAACTTCAAGAATGCAAAAGTATTTGAAGACTGTGTACCAGTTGCACCTGATCCTAGATCAGGAGGTGCTGCTGACAGTCATTCATGTGGAGTCCTTGGTGCTCTCTGAGCTTGGTTGCTTGCTTGGAGATGTTTCATTACCCAACTAGGTTACATCATCAGTGTGAGTGAGTGTGAGGTTTTCTCCCTATTTATATACAGTAGCTTGCCCTGCCAATGTTGGTAGGGTGGTGGCTTTCTCCTTGGTAGTTCCTTGTCAAGGAACTACCTAATCAAGGAACTACCAAGGAGAACTACCCTAATCAAGCAGCATTCCCCTCCACGCATCTCAGCCTGAAATGCCAAAAGAAAGTTCTTGAACCAAATTGCTTTGAATTCTCTGGGCTTAGCTTGGCCTGCCATCCTGATAGAGAGAAAGGCCCCTCGTACCCATGGATTCCTCTTTGCAGTCAGAACAGCAGCTAAGACAACTTTTGCATTTAAAAAAAAATCTGATTCGGTTCCAAACTATAACATAGTCCCAACTATGCAGAATCTGCTTTATGATCTCCTCCAGTATTTTCTATTCTGTCAAACATTATTCAACCTCTTTGTCACAGGATTTGTTTTTAGTAACATTGTTGAGCTTGCTTTATTTTTGCAAGATGATGGAAAAGATTGCTGGGCATCTATCTCTGTGTTGATCTGCAGCCTCCCTGGCTGCTGCTGTTTGCTTTCCGTGGGACAGAATCACTGTGTGGAAAGTCAAGAAGGCTGCAGATTGCTGGAGAGATGATGGTGAATTAAAAGATAAGAAGATACTCAGAAATACAAGAATCCCAAACTCATGAGAATTTCACTAGAAGGTTCTCCTTTTTAAACAAACCAACCAAGACTCATTTTGTTCATAAAATTGAAGGAGACTACTGTAAGTAAAAATGAATGATTAGCAAGAGCACTGATCAAGACTTCCAATGATTGCAAAGCAATTGTGGGAAACACTTGCCAACATGCCTTTATCTTAGCCTTGCAGAGTCTCATTCTGTTTCTGGATTTGTTACAGCTGCGGAACAACAAGGTAAAAGATGTCTGCCTCGATCAAGGGCCACAGGAAAATCACACAGCGATCCTTTACCCATGCCATGGCTGGGGGCCACAGGTTAGAATCAGACTTGGTTACCATGATGTGATTTGAACAAGGATGATGCAAAAGTTCTAACAGTCTAGTGAAGAAGCCCTAGTGGATTCTGCACTGAGCAGAGAGTTGGACTAGATGCCTTCAAAGATATGTTCCAAATCTAGGATTCTTAGCTTCCATCACTTCAGGGTTACCAAGATAGAAAGTATGACCATATTTCACACCCAACCTTTAACTTCATAGCAAGCATTTCATTGTGTTTAAATTAAAAAAAAAAAAAATTAAAGTAGCCTGGGGCAAGGAAACTGGTGAGTACTGAAGGATGTAACCATGGGCACATTTTCCAAACAAGCATAGAGAGAATTGGGACTTGGATGCTCCTTCATCAGAATCAGGAAAGCATTCCTTTTTGAAATGGGGCTTGTGCATTGCTTTCAGATCTGGGGGAGAAACATCTCGGTTTCTGAAGTGCATTCCTGTTTGACCAGTACCATGTGGGAAGAACATGTATGTGTGCACTTACAGTATATCTTCAAGGGGGGTGTCTTCTTTTCTCTCTCTTCCCCCAAAGTTCAACAACTGTGTACTTTCTGCACCTGAATAGAACTTGTCCTCTGCTCTGTTTCCTTCTTCAGTGGCAGATTCTTTGCCAAGTGACTTTTCTAGAGGGAAGTTTTTCCACAAATGCATAGAGTCATGTCAGCATTTCATATTGGAATTCCAAACTTGCACCAAACATCTGTTTTACAACTGGACATGCAGGCAGATCTTTCACTCCTCCCCCCCAACACTTTTTTTTGGGGGGGAAGGGTCTCACAGATGGTGAAATCAGAAAGATCATTTCTACCTGTTTTTAGCCTTGTGTGCAGAAAACTCAAAGAATTGTGCTGTTACTCCTCCCTCAAATTTATTCCAAGAGTTGCCATTTTATTTTTCACACCAGGATCCTACAGAGTGACAGCAGGCTGCTCCTGCATCTCTTGGAAGTGTCTCGGGGAAACAAATGGCAAGGACAGTTTAGGAGACACCACAATTTGCTCCAATAGAGATTTCCAGTCACTTTTTCAGAGTAGCCCCATACAGCATACATACTATCAGTAATGGAAATACACCCAACCCAGGATCAGTGGGAGCTCCGATGCGTGAGACATAATTTGCAAAGGAGCACCTTGCTCCAACTGCAGTGACAACTACAGAACCAGAAGGCATCCCAGACTGTCAACCAGCTCTTTTTATACCTCACAGTTCTTCTGGTTCTTGATGAGCAGAGCCTGGAAATAATGGAATAGCTGATGAACTAGACCAGTGTTTCTGAACCCCAGCAATTTTAAGATGCGTGGACTTCAATATGCTGGCTGGAGAATTCTGGGAACTGAAGTCCACGCATCTTAAAGTTGTTGGGACTCAGAAATGCTGAACTAGACCAACAGCTTTCTTTAGAACAGATCTACAAGAAGGCTGACAATTGCACAGCCCTGGAATTAGGACTATTCAAAATACTGTGAGCTTGAAATGGAGCAAACTCAAAATGGCTATTTAAAAAATTCTGACCTGGAACAAGACAACCCAGTTCTGGAGTTTTGTCCTAAATTCAAATCAGATTAAGTGTTGTAATCATTGTTTCAGGTGTTGCCATTGGGATCAAGGGAAGCTCAGAAGAAGCTCCAATTCCCTTGTCATCCTAGGGTCACAAAAATAAATGAGATGATAGTCCATGCTGAGTACTATCTATCTAATTTAAAAGCAGCTTAAAAACTCTAAGAAGTGAATCCAGTCTGAAAGGATCTCTGTTTTCCCATAAGAACACATGTTCAGGAATATTTAAATGTGTTGATTTTGGCACTTAGAATATTATATGAAATTGAGTGATGATCACCTGAAAAGTCGCTGACCCTTACTGTAAAGGAGAAAAGCACCTGCTGGAAGATGGAGCAAACTTCATGGTTCCTTGATCCCATTCAGGTCTGCATAAGTATCCATGTGCTTTCTGTAAAATACATCCCATGTGGGGCCATGAAGCTCTTTGAATTCAAAGGGAAAAAGGCCCCACCCACAATGACTTTTGTGTGGTCATCTCAAGAGGACCTGCTGAAAATCTCTCCTCCTTGTGAGCTTTATGGGACCTGAGGGAGGTGGAAGACGGTCTCTCTGGTGACCCTGTACTATGGAACAGGTTTTTCCAGAGTCTTGACTGATGCCCTCCCTTCTTATTTTCCAGGAGATTGTTAAAAACTTCCTTTTCCAACAGGCCTTTAGCTTGAAGGGATGGGTTGTGGACATCCATCTGTATATTTGTTTGCACATTTTGGAGAAGTTGCCCCTGCATGATTTTTGTCCTTGCTTTGAACTTTGTTTTACATGGCTCAGAGTTGTAGGATTGGGACAGTTAACAAATATGGTAAATAAATAAGTAAAGAAATGCTTTATAAAATATAAAGGCACTCCAACTTGTGCAGGGGTACTCAAGCAGCACCTGATCACAATTCCTTAGATCAGCTGTGTCTTTTCCTAGCATCACATGGCTGCTTTCTGCAAGGGCAGGACAAGTCAGAAAGAAGATGCATTTTGTTTAAGAAGTTGTGGATGGGTGTGTCATGGGTGCCCTCCCATGTGCTAAAGCACCTTTTTCCTTTTGAATCCAAAGAGCTGCACAGCTGTTGGCCTTGCAGAGTAAACCAGATAGGAATCACAACCAGATGAATTAATTCTACTTTGGAGTCCTTGGGGTTCTCTGAGCTTGGTTGTCTTCTGGCAAACACTTCATTACCCAGCTAGGTAACATCTTCAGATTCAGACTCCACAGTTCAACCCTGAGCTACACATATTCCCTAATTCTACTTTATTGTAAAGCTACATGGACAGAATCTTGCAGGTCTGAACGTACATATATCCCCCCATCTCATTTACAGCCCAAGACACTAAGGACCGTCTCTTCTGAACCTCTTGCCCCACCCACTATCCAGCAGTGGGCTATGCTGTCTCTTATCTGATCATTCCTTTGGTGGCATCTTTGGGCCCTGTCTCCCAAGGTCTTTCCCACATACCATCATAACAGCACCACTACATACACAATGTCACCATGGACCTCTGACTATGCCAGGTGATCATTTGGGCTTTTCTGAACCTATTGCAATCTTCCCCTTGAATTCATTAATCAGTTTGGAGAGGATGGGGACAGCGGGTCTTAACCAAGTTCTGCAGGGCTGCTAAAGAAGCCCCGCATCATATGTTTGAAATAT